AATTGGGAGGAAGGGGAGGAAGTCTCACATGAGTGAGGTTTTCATCAATCTGCAAATGGGAACCTAGGCAAGAATATGAATCCAGTCTTCTGGAACACTGCTTCATGTTAAATCTGATCTTAAAAACTTCATTGTATAAATGGAATACATTTTACACTCTCTGTAGGCTAACTAGACCTATTCAACCTATATGGGGGGGGGGGTGGGTGGGAGTGGTTTATATTTTGCAATTACATCAATATTACCTTCAGCTGTGGAGGTGCAAAGTTTGTTTCTTGAAACACTCTCTTACACCCATTCCCACAGAATCTTTTTTTCCTGTTTTTTTTTTTTTCTTTTTTTCTTCCTTTGATGTTTCTCTAAAAGCCTCAACCTATATAAAGCATGTTACAAAAAAAGTTCTGGAAGTCTATTAATACATTCCTGTTAGCGTTCTCTGCATATATGTCACACTGATCTTTAGGGCTGAAACACTGTTTTTAATCTGCGCTCGTACAACACACAGTCTAGTGGAATACCAAAGATGAGTTTGTAAGCAGTCCTCAAAGCTCCCAGAGCACTCACCCAGCAGGCCCTCTACCTTACTGATACCTGATGCTCTGAAAAATGTTCTCCTGATTTCTAGCAATTGTATTTACAGATGGATTCCACTCTGTAATAATTGCCATGGGTAATTCCTCTTCAGTACTCCTTCTAGGAGCCCAGACTGGTGGTTGCTTTCCCTCGGTCCACGCCTGCATCATCTGTGTGGCTTGCAGACCATGGGAGCCCCACCAGAGCCCATGTGACATCCAGTAAGCAGCCCTGGCCAACACTGTTCAAACCCCTTCCCTTGCCTCACTCCCTCAGCTACAACAGGTACAGCTTTTTGCAGGAGTGTGTTGTGATCTGAATAAGGGGTTAAAGAGTGTGGTTAAGGTTGGGTTGAAAATGTTTACAGTTTTTTAATTAAATAGGACATGATTATCAAAGTTATTTTAAAATTGCAGTCATCTGCCCCAGCTGTTGCATGTGGGTCATCTTATGGCTTCAGGGACATCTGTGTATAACTGAGAGGGTGGTGCAGAGGCAGAATCTGCTGCTGATAGAAATGCCTGTGGAACGATGAGCTTAGTGTCTTTACTGAGAGAGACGTGTTGACTTCTCTAGAGAGATTATGCCCTTGTTGTCAGCCTGCTTGCCAGTTGGCTGTTCCCTTTGTCTGGGCTTCTGCTATTCAGGTAACAAGTGGTACAAAACTGTGGTTTATTGTGTGCAGCACATGATCTCTGTTCTCTGCAGATAAATCATTCTGACATGATGTAGCAGTAGCAAGCTGCTTAGCCCGAACAGCTTCTGTTATCTATTTCAGAAGCTTCAGTGGCCTTTAAGTATTTCATCACAAATAATTTCTGGCAAATCCATAAGAATACCAAGCAAAAAGGAGGAGAGTGAAAGTCCTGATTACTGTACTACAATCAGAGAAACACCTTGATGGGCAGTATGAAACATTCCTTAGCTCCTTCCTCAACCAGTAAACCCCTGATTATAAATGACTCTTTAAAGGCTACATTAGACAGACATTACATGATCAGTTCACTTCCTTGCATTACTCTGAGACTCTCCCTTCTCATCAGGTGTGAAACCATTAGCCAACCAAGCCTTCTAAATTGTATCACAGAAACATTTCTTCTCAGCTAGTAACAAGTAGATCTCTCAGAAGAATTCCCAGGATTATCTGATCCTACTCCTTTCACAGAATTGAAACTCCTTTTTTTCTGAGAGGACTCAAGTACCAACTTCTTTCTCCTGGCCCAGCCTCCCTCTCCAGCTGTTGACTGTGAAATTCTCCTTATTTACCCAGCACTTTTACAGGGATTGGTAATGCATCACTATACTTACTTGCTCCCAACATCTTTTCCCCTGGAAACTGACAGCAGGAGTCTTTCCACAGAAAAATATCTCTGTGATGTTACAGCTGCATATCCAACTCCGTACTCTACTACTTTTCCTGTCTTCTCTCCCACATGCAACTCCTTTCAGAAATGACAACCTCAAAAGCATATCCTCTGTCAAGAAAAGTTACACAGTTACACCCTTTCCTCAGTGCAGAACAACACCAGTTGGCTCAGTTGGGAAACACTGCCTGAACATCACAAGCTTTTGACTTGAATGCAACTACGGATTTCTTTCTGGAATTGGTACCTGCTTAGGATCAATTTTCACAAGATTTGAGCCTCTGAAACAGCACCCTCATGAGAAGCAATTTTAATGGTACTTGGGCAGAAATGCTTATTCTTGATTCCATCTAACTTGAAGTATTTCCCAAGCAATACTTTATTAAAAATGCTTAGTTAAAATGTCACTAAAACAATCCCAAAGATTCTGATCATCTTTTACTATTAGTCTTCCCCCTCCCAACAGCTCTGCAGTCTGTCTCATGAAACTCCTACTGTCTTGTTGCCTCATTATTCCCTTCTAAAATTTTATCATTATAGCCCACTTCACACCTCCTCTACCATACTGTCAGATGCTACTGTGACCTATGGTACATATTATAGTACTAGTTATAGCTATAGAATCAAACCTGCAAAACCTGCACTCTGATCTGCCTGTGACATCTAGGTCACCTTTGTCTGGCTCCCAATAATACTTATACTTTATACTTCAACCTCCCCAGCTATAAAACAACTTTGTTCTTTGAGATTTTTGGCTGAAAACAACAGAATAGAGCTATATGATAATTCTGCTTACAAAGTATTCAAGTGTGCTGTTATCTCTTTGAATGACTGAATCCATGCAGAGATTAATTATATATGGTAGACCTAGAAATAAAGTATCTGTAAAGGGCCCTGCTGGACAGTCTGTAAAAGTATCTGTAAAGGTCCCTGCTGCTTTTCAATCAATGATCTAACACACTTTCTGCTTCTTCCACCCACTTGGTCAATTATTCCTTGATGAAGAAGAATAGGTATGAGGCATCCATGCATCTCCAACCTGAAATAAATTGCTGTCTTCCATCTCTTTACTGTGGAGGTCTAAATGATGCTGAATGCATTTAGATTTCCTGTGGCAGGTTATCCTTCCTTGCAGATAAAGAAATTTAGCTCAAGTCTTCCCCCTCCAATTTCTTCGCAAATACCCCGGACTGTATTCAATTGGGTGCTGGGAGTGGAAACCAAAAAAACTGAAGCTCTGCCTGAGAACATTTGCCACCCACATACTGCAACAGTGTTCAGGAGCTAAATCTTATTTATGAGGCTTAGTTTCATTTCCAGTCCTTTTTGCCAAAAATCCCAATGAAATGTAATTTGTGCACACAGTGGCCACACAATTTTGGCATTACTTGCTACACTCTTAGTCTGGTCTGAGATCTACAGACATACTTTAGCCCCACAAATGTGTGGGAGTGTGGATATGACAAATGACATCAAGAGAAGTATGTAGAGACACTTTCAACAGGCAATAAAAAATATCAGAGAACTCTAAAATGAGAGACACCGAGAAAGGTATTAACTGTATTGAAACATTTGAGCACGAGCCCAGAATTGGAAGCAGACAGCTTGCTTTGAACGTTTCATCAGGCATCTTTCTCTGTAGTAAGCCAAACTATAGGTAGCCAGTACCCCTTTGGACAAATTTGGAACTAAACACAAACACATTTTGCTGCTTAGATATCTTTTGAATAGAAGGCAAACAATTCTGGATTTTGTCATTGTATATTTAGGTTTTAAAAGAAAACCGACTCACTACCTTCATTAATGTTGAAAATTATCAAATTTAAAATTCAGTCTCTACCCTCACTCACCTGAAAGACTTGAGGCTGATATTACAGGAACTCATTTTCCAAGTGAGAATGTGTCCATGTGTCACTCTGACGTGGGAACATGTCTGACATGGGACCAACGCCAATCTCAAAGAAGAGCCTTATGGACTTCGATTCTAAGCTTTGGGAAAGATTAGTTTACCCCTTTTGCATCTCTATTTGTCAAAAAAGTTCTGCAAATACAAAGAAAACTGTCTCAGTTCCAAATGCCTGCCAGGATAATGTAACTCTATCCCATCCTCTGCTCCAAGTAAAGACTAAGAAACATTCATCGTTTGTGGCATTAGCTCTGCCCCTGCCCGAGGCTCCGAGTGTGAAACTGCAACAAAGCAAGCCTCAAACCGTGTCAAGAGTAATATTGTAACTAGCATAGGGTCACAAAACAAGCCTGACTATCTGGTCTGTTTATAGATACCATGCTTGTAAAGCAGCGATTCAAAAACGCTGTCAAATCTCACGGCTACCACGCTTAGGAGCTTTGTGCTGCTTGTAAGCAGATTCCTCCTTTAAATCTTTGCTACAAGGAGCGACAGCGCCCGTCGGATGAGTGGGATGCCAGGCAGATCCTGGGGCCGAGTCCGGACTTGGAGGGCACCGCTGTGGAGGACGCAGCCACCGAGTTTAAACTCCCTTTCCCCGCGTCTCCCCAGTCCCGTCCCGTTCCCCTGCTATAAAGTGGCAGTGAAAGCGCGTGCAGTGGGCTCCTGGATGCTATTCCCGGATCCGCGCCCCCCGCCCCGTCCCGAGGCGGCGGCGGAAAGGCGCTGCCCGTGTCTTTCCCTCCCCCTTGCCCACCGAGGAGGGGGAGCGGCGGTCACGACGGCAGCCCCGCGGGTGAGACGGCGGCGGTGGAGCTGGCAGGCTCCGGCTGTCCCCTTGCACATGGACGCGGGGAGCCCGGCGCGGTGGCGGCGCAGGACAGGGGGACCCTGTGGGGAGACGGTCCCCGGCGGAGGGGACAGCGGCCGCTGCCAGCTCGCGGCACGGGAGAGGGAGCGCGGCCGGCCCGGGCCAGCTCCGCCGGGCGCGGCAGCGGGGCCGGGCGGGCGCACGGCTCCTCCCGCCGGGGCGCTGCCGGGCCGGGCCGGGGGCGGAGGAGGCGGGGAAGGGGGGAGCCGCTGCCGTCACCGAGGCTCCCGGCTCGCTCGGCTCGTCGCCGCGGCAGCCCCAGCCCCGCTCCCACCCCCTCGCCTGCCTCCACCCTCCTTCCCTTTCTCTCGCTCACTCGGCGAGAGCACCGTGCCTCCTTTCCCAGATGGCAGCCGGCAGCGCCATGCAGCCTCCCGTTCCTCCTCCTCCTCTCCCTCCTCTCCGGCTCTAAGTTAATGCCATGCTGCCACTGCTCTTCCCGGCACTGCTGGCCGCCTGCCTGCCGCCCTGCCAGGGCTGGAGCCCCTCGGCGGCTGCCAGCGGGCAGGAGGAGCAGGAGCAGGAGCTCTTCTTGCTCCCTGCCAACTCCTCCTCCCGCTCCTTGGCGAGCCTCGAGATGGACCTCGACGGGGCAGCGAGCAAGGAGGAAGGTAGCACCGATAGCCCGGGCACGCCGGCTGCCCCTAGCCAAGAACCTTTCTCTTCCGCTCCCACCACCTCCGGGCAGGAGCAGCCGGGGCAGGAGCAGCCGGGGCAGGAGCAGCCGGGGCAGGAGCAGCAGCAGCAGCGTCCCCAGCCGCAGGGGCAGCCGCAGCCCGCCGAGGACCCGCACTGCAACATCAGCGTGCAGCGGCAGATGCTGAGCTCGCTGCTGGTGCGCTGGAGCCGCCCGCTGGGCATCCAGTGCGACCTCCTGCTCTTCTCCACCAACAGCCACGGACGAGCCTTCTTCTCCGCCGCCTTCCACCGCGTGGGGCCGCCGCTGCTCATCGAGCACCTGGGGCTGGCGGCCGGCGGCGCCCAGCAGGACTTGCGCCTGTGCGTGGGCTGCAGCTGGGTGCGGAGCAGGCGGGTCGGGCGGCTGCGGGGCGCCGCGCCCCAGCCCCAGCCCCAGCCCCAGCCCCAGCCTCAGCCCCAGCCCCCCGCTGCCGCCGCTGCCGCCGCTGCCGCCGCCGCATCCTCCTCTTCCTCCTCCTCCTCCTCCTCGCTTTCCTACCCGCCGGCGGCCGAGCCCGGCCAGTACTGGCTGCAAGGGGAGCCGCTGAATTTCTGCTGCCTGGATTTCAGCCTGGAGGAGCTGAAGGGCGAGCCGGGCTGGCGGATGAACCGCAAGCCCATCGAATCCACCTTGGTGGCGTGTTTCATGACTCTGGTCATCATCGTGTGGAGCGTGGCCGCCCTCATCTGGCCCGTGCCCATCATCGCCGGATTCCTGCCGAACGGCATGGAGCAGCGCCGCGGCACCGCCGCCGGCACCGCCACCGCCGCCGCCGCCAAGTAGCCTCTCCCGGGGACCCCCCTTCTCTTCGTCCTGTGCTGTGGAGGGACGCGGGACGGACTCTGTCGCATTTTTTCTCGTTTGCAGCGTGCCACAGGTGCGCGGCGGGACGTGTGGCCGCCTCACCGCCCGGCCCGGCCCCGAGGGCAGCGGCCACGAGGGGACCAAATCATATGTGCGCGTTTTATATATTTAATACCCGTTTTAAACGAACCTTTTAGTAAAAAAAACCAAAAAGCAAAAAAAAAACCCCAAAAACCCTACCCAACCACCAAACAATCCCTCCCCCTCCAGGAAAAAAAAAAAAAAAAAAAAAAAAAAAAAAAAAAAAAGGGCAAGAAAAAGGCTCCCTAACAATTCAGTGGAGGAAATCAAAGACCCTCCTATTCGGCTGCATTTGTTGTCAGAGTAGCGTTTTTGTATAGGATATGGTTTGAACGGGTTTTTCCTTTATGGACAGAAAGGAATCTCTCTCTTTGACAGAATGGGGAACTGATGGGGTATATGTATTGTTACTGCTGAAGCTGAACTTTAATGGACCTTTCACACTTTATTTCCTGGTTGAGATAGTGTATTTATTATTGTAGCTCTGCGTTATTTGGCTTTTAATACAGAGGTTTTCTTTCTGGAGCCACTGTAGCCTTTTGTTGGTCTGTTTCCTCCAGGGTGGAACAGAGGGTTTGGCTGGCCTTCCTGTCTGCAAACCTGCCACAAAGCTCCTTTCCCCAAGAAATGGCGTTACTGGGGCTGCTGGTGGCAAAAGGAGAATCCCAAATCCTTTCTGACTGGTATTTGCTCTATTTGTGCAGGAGATGTGGGTCTGTATGCCTACACCAGGGTTGGGTGGGGAGCACAGCTGTGCCAGAGATCCTCCAAAGCAGTTTCATCTTCACATCTCCACAGACTATGGCTTTCTCCTCAGTTTGAGGTTGGGTTGCTTCAGTCCTGGGGAAATGAAGCCTATTCTGAGTTGTGCTAAACAGCGTGGGGCAAGTCTCTCGACTTCCTCAAGGTTAATTTCTCAAAACCAGCTTAGATGCAGTGTATTTGTTGGAGACACAGTAATGCTGTACCTCTTTTTCATCAACCAGTCTGCAGGGCTGCTCCCAGCAAGTCTGTGGGGTGAGAAGGCAGGAGCTGCCAGTCCAGAACTAGATTCCAGGTGCTGCTGTGCAAGGGTACAAAGAAGAAAGATTTATTTTCTCTTGTTTGAGCAGACAGCTGTGTAGCCTGAAATACCATTTGTTGTATACTTCCAACTGTTTAGCCTTATAAAAAGTTGTTTCATTTGCCTTAGACATGATTAGTCCGGCTAAAGTTTCTAAAACCAAAATATGAGCTAAGTGACGAATATTTGCAATAGGAATTCTTTTTTTTTTTGGTCAACATCACTGTTTTTAATTTGCTAGGAATGCATGAATTTGCTTGGGGCCAGTTTGGTGTATTCGTAATGTATGGTGGAAATGACTGGATGAAAAGTCGGGAAGGATTAAATTCTTAGGATTCCCATATTTTTTAACTGACAACAAAATAAAATAAATGCATGCTCTATGTGTATGCTGTCTGGACAAAAAGACAGAGAAAAAGATTGACAAACAGCAGAAATAAATCAAGATTTAAAAATGCTTCATGTTACTAGGCTGCCTCTACACCCACTGTTCCTCCTGTTAATCCTCTTGTGGGGTTGTCACTCGAGTAACATTTCAGTGGCATTGTTTTCAGAAAGCAGAGGATCTGATTGCTGTGGGAAGTGCTCTCTTGACCTGTTGATCCAAAGGGCACCTGGCCCTGTACACCTAGTTTAGAGAGCCTCTATTTTCTTTCCTTGATGTGTAATACAGTGTCATTTCCACCTTGTGCAAACTCTTGTCAGATATTTGACATGCTAGAGAGCAATTCTTTGCCTATTATCTCCAGTGTAACAGAGACACCTCTTCATACTGAAAGGCAGGGCTAGCAGGAAAACATGAAGATAGTGCTAACACCCTCTCAAAAGAGAAATGTTCTACATATGGAATAGACCTCAGAAAAGTTGCCATGCTAGGGAATAATTTCATCTTTTGAATGAGATGCATTTAGGTAGAGAGTTAAGAATTTTTACTGGAAATTTTTCTGGCTTTGTTAATTCATGATGTATAGTCCTTGCTGTGGTGCAGGGAGCCTGTGCTTAAACTCAATTGAATCTCTGTTGAATCTCTTTTTTGCTTATCCTTATTTTACCAGTGATATGATATTGGGTTTTTGTTTGGTTTTTTTCCTGAATTGCATCAACATAAACAAGGGTATGGTGTTACTGTCTGAAACCGGCAAATTCAGTTATTAAAGACTTATTATTTTGCAGTTCTTGCAGACATGTAGCAGGTGGTACACCAAAACTGGTACAAAATGGCTTGTTTTTCAACTTCTATCAATGTCAGCTTGAATACAAACTTCGTGAATAGACAGTGCCACACTCAGAGTATTTTGCTGCTTCACTTAAAAAACATGATACAAGAGAGGGATTTTCTTATTTTATAAATACACTTGTAACTGGAGCTATTATTAAAAATATGCTAAGACACGAATGTTTAAAACACAGGGATGGTGTTAAACAAACTCCAAAGGCAAGTCTTGTCCAGGATACAAACAACTTCAATGTTTTCAGGGAGTGCTGATCTCAGACACAATGTGCTGAGAGCCCTTGTGGGTTAGGGCAGGTGTTTCCTTAGATCGCAGTGACCGTGAGCATGAGCATGTTCCTTTCGCAGACAGAGACCGGTCCTGTTTCTGTGCCTTAAAGAGGAGTTTAGGGCACAGCAGGGGGCACAGGGATTACCTGCTGTACAGGCTTTAGGCTGAATCTAACTCCCTGAACCTCGGGCTTCAGTGAGGTGGCAGCAGGGCTTCTCCTGTAAGAAACAGACAGTGGAAATGCGCTATGCAAATGGTGAGCTTTCTTCAGTCACTGTTACACCCAACTTCAATAACTCTGCTCCTGTAGCTGTACTACTGTGACTCTAAGTAAAGTATAATTTTGAGTAACTTTTGCCTTCATCCATGGGAATTCCATGTGAACGTAACCTGGAAGAAGCAAGCCCAGGGCAATGTGGAATGATATATCTGCACACCAGCTAGTTAAAGATTACAAGTTTAGACACTGAAATGTCTGTTTATTTTCTTCTGCACTGGGAGTGGAGCTTTATTGTCTCTTAGCTGGAGTTGACTCTAAGTCATTTTTATTCATTTGGATTTATTTTTAAGACCAGCTGGTAGCAGGGTCATCACGAGAGCAGATTAGTCACCATGTATAATCCTTTATGTACTCAGGGAGGGCATATATTTGTGTATATCTACCTACATATGAGGACTCACTCTGTAGAACATAAAGTTACAGCACAAGTGAGAAAAGGGACGGTGAGAAACAATACTGAGAAAGTAGTACTGATTTTCCTTCACTATTTGGTGGCTCGTGTTTCTTGGTAAGTTATCCTGATTTTATTTACATATGAGTGTTTGTTGGAAAGTAAGGAATATCTAGGAACAGAGGGACTTTCTGATTTACTTTTTAAAATGTAATTCAACTCTGTTACAGATTTTTGTTTTCATGCCAGAAACCAGGAACAATCTAGACATTCAGCATTACAAGGTACTAGGCTTGTATGCTAGTGTTAGACTGTTTTTTTTCCTGTATATTCAGACCTCAGAATTTAATCTTTCACCTGTTTTCTTAGTTATGTTTCACAGATGTTTTAGAAGCAGAAGCATACAGAGGAATGTGTAGTTTTAGCGTGGACATGGTTTTGCTGTTGCTTAGTGTCACATTGATTCCTATGATAAAAATACAAAAATGTAGTACAGTGTAATAATAGTTATATATTATGTAAGCACACTGTTGCTCAATAGGTTGTCAGTAATCAAGCATTTCTGTGTGTCAGGAGGCATTTGGATATTTGGGCAAAACTGCCATACTACGTTAAATGTAAGAGTTGTTACTTATCCAGGGTTTAGTTCACCAGTGCTTTCAATGATTAATGCAACAGCAGAACTATTTGTGCAATGCATGTTACTCAATATGAGTAAAGGCTACTGAACCAGACCATAAAAAAACCTAATTAAAAGCTGTAGTTGGCTGAAGAGGTATTATTCATCATGACATCTGCTTGCTAAATAGAAGTATCTCCAGGGCGGACATTATGTGATCACAAGGGCTGAACAAAAGCCTAGTGAAATCAAATAGTTAATTGAAGTTTTGTAGGACTGGAGATCAAAGGATTTATTTTGAAGATATATATATATATATAGATGTAAGGGTAGGTATGATGTTCTTGTTTCTCTTCGGTTTTTATACACGTAGTTTATAAATCCAAAGCCAGGATTTCTCAGTCCAATGTAGGGCCTTGCCAGCTTCTTTCTTTAGTATGAAAATGTCAGTTATTTTTCAAGGAATTTTACAGGATAAATGTAAATTTTTTCCAATCTATTTCAGGGAAAGGCCTTGACTTTGCAAAAAAGCATTTGTAATGATTCTGGGAAAGCATATAAGTATCAAATCCCAAATGCATTCAGATTTCAAAGAATAAAAAAATCTTTTTAATCAGTAACTTATTTTTAAAAGCATATTTTTAAACAAAAAAAAAATCCGTTTTCATTTTTCCCCTCAGAAGCTGAACATTTCAGTGAAGATCAGAAGTGCATTTGAGTGTTTCACATTGTGATTTTGTATGTGATTTTTTTGTGGAAAAAAAATTCTCTTCCATGATTTGGAACTGATGACAGCTTTTGACAGATAAGTTACTGTATTTCTTGTCCCATCTTCATAATAGTTCTGATGAAATAAGTTGTCCAAAATAATTGTAAATCATAATAATAATAATAATAACAACAATAAAGTAGCTTAGCCCAGTTGTTGTGTTTCTGTTCTACTGTGCTGAGGAAGAAAGCAGTCTGGTGTGAAAATTGGGATATTAAAGATATTTATTGGAAATATCTGGATGGTGTTTAATTAGATCTGTGGACAGGCTTCAATCTCACAACCACATCTCCAAATTTTTATAAAGTTTGGGTTCATTACTGAGTGTAGCAGTATGAGCATTTATATGTCGATCAGAGTCCCTGGATCTGCACGCTGGGAAAACCAGGATCTAAATAATTATCTCTTATTTTCACTTCTGTATTACCTCGGCGGGTTAACAATGTCAGAACAAAACAGAGCAAAAATGAAAGATGCAAATATCCTATGAAATGCTGTTTGTTTCTGCGTGTTTGACTTGTTCTTAGCTGCCATAGAAAGCATTGGATTAATGAGACATAAATAAGAGATCAGTGCCGTTCTGAGGAAGTGAATTCACTGGGAGCGTGAAGTAAAATTATATTTGTGGTCCTTGTAAGGTGAGATTTGTTTGAAACAGTGGGATTGTACCTTGTTGGTGTCATTCTGGGTGTTGCTAAGCAACATGAAGTGGTTTAAATGGAGATGCAGAAGAAGATTGTGGAGGAATAAAAAAAATGAGACATAGAAAAAGCATAAAAGGGAGCAAATGTGCCAGCACATCATGCAAAGAAGAGGCAAAGTATCAGACAGGAAAAAGACTGTTTAAGATCATAGACAAAAAAGAAAACAGACATAAGGTGAATTAAGAACTTGATTACATACTTCATATTCAGTCTTTCCATATTCAAACTTTCCAGTTATTTGCTTGAACAACTGATAGCAGTTTTGGCCCCAAAGGGCACAACTAGTGGCACAAGAGAATAAAAGCCTGGAAAGAAATGTGATGTTTAGGAAAAGTTAGGAAATGATACCACCATACCATTAATAAAAAGCGAGTTCGATCTCTGTGTTGCTGGCAGCTCAGCAATGAAATGGCAGGGCACTTTCATGCATGTATTTTCTGTTCTACCTCAAGGAAGGGGTCATGGCACCAAGCCTGCCAGAGTTCAGGAAGGTTTTGGGCAATGGTCTCAGAGACATGGTGTGTTTTTTGGGGTTGTCCTGTGCAGGGCCAGGAGCTGGACTCAGTGGTCTTCCTGGGTCCCTTCTCCTCAGGATGTTCTGTGATTCTATGGTTCTGATTCTACTCTAATTTTGCTTCACGTGTTCTTTGAGGTTGTAAGGAAAACATCCTAAAATACCATTTTTATGGAATGGGTATGTTTTTTCCATCATTCTTGCACTGATCCATACCAAAAATATCCTTCTTATTGCCCAACACAAGAATGTTCATCATGACTGTATTGAAGCTTTGCACCTGAACTGAAGCAATGCTGGTCCCAGCCTGGCTCAGGTCACTGCTGCAGACAAGACTACGTGCTGGAATGCTGTGGATGGCATTCTGATTTATATTGCCAATACTTTCTCACTGAAACACTTTAATGACTACCTACAGAATCTTCCCTTTTTTTGTGCCTATCTTCATTGTTTCCAAGTTTCACTCCATTTGTCTTCTGTCATTGAAAATTAATCATTCTTAGGATTTGTTCTTTCTAACTTGGTATGTTCCTCTTCCCTTCTCTCTTTCCATAGTATGTATTTATCTTGACATTTTCTGCCTTCAGATTTCTCACCTGTCTTTCCCACAAGTATGTGTTTTGTTATCAAGCCCTAAAAAATACTTCAGGAAACTGTGCTGTCAGTTTCTTCTGCTTGTCCACTCTGCTTCCCACCCAACCAGACTGCACCTTTTGTGCCTTTGGTCTGTGACACTTGTAGGGCAAAGATGAACAGGAAACCTTGTGCTGAGGGTAAAACCCAAGTGCAAAGTTGTCTCTCCCACCAGTCCTGTCCTCACAGGACTTCCACACCTCTGTTCCAGACACTGAGCAAGGGACCTAAGTCATTTTGTCTTCTGGTAAGTGAAAAGTAGACCCATTTGAAGAGTTCCTTCCTCCATTTCTCAAAGTTCTGCCTCTGAATCACCCTCTACTCATGCACCTGCCCAAAACCCTATCTCATGCATTATGGGAGCCCTCACATGTCGATTTTACCACGTATCCTCAATTGAAATGTCAGGATGTGTCTCATCCTGCCTTCTGCTCTAACCAAAGGTAGGTGTCTCACAGCCAGAGAAGAAATTATCTCACTTAGGAGTGGACCAGCATTGAAAATAACAGAGTCAGGTATGCAGCCAGAGGACCAAAACCCATTACTTTTCAATTAGATCTTGGATTCTGCAGAGAGTGAACACTGTTGCCCTGGATTATGGGCCATGGGGAAGTTGTATGAGAAACAGATATGGCAGATTTTTCAAGTGCTGGTCTCGCAGCCTTCTGGCTTTACTAGTAAAGCTGAGTGGCCAGGCTAACTCACCACAGCCCTCCTTTTATTAGATGATGACAAACGTTTACAGCTCAGACAAGGGCTTGTGAGGTTCAGGCCTTGTCTGTGTCCCTTTAACTGTGGACAAAATAATATTTATACTTTTCATACTGGTAATGAAAGGATTAATGACGTAAATTCCATACAGCATTTTGAGCGTGTCAAGCACAATAAAAATGCAAAACATGAACATGGTTTTATTCCTTCTTTGTTCATTTTTGCACTGAAGGGCACATACAGAGTCTTGTGCTGTTAAATTAAGGTATTCTGCACAATTTTGATCACAATTTGGCCAGGCAATAGCTTTATTCTGGAAATGTTTTTTCCCATTGATAGGTGTTGCTGTGAGCAGTCATATTAAAACAAATCATTACTAAGTGATGAATGTTACTAGAAGAGATTCTAATTAATCCAAAAGAATATGAAAGAATCCCCCAAAGTGTAAGAAATCTTTTTTAGGAGGTGAATATTTTAAGGATTTGGTGTGGATGTAGCTGGTGGAGATTTAATCATGGGGCTATTTAATTTCTTTTCTTGCACTTCGTGTTTCATCACATTTTCTCTGGAGAATATGAGCTGTGCCTAATTATGCCAGAAACGTAGTTGCTCCTAAATGGAGACTGGAAAGTACTTTCTTCAGGCAATACTTAGTATGAATTCTTGAATTTTTTTTTCATTTCCTCCAGGACATGTAAAGCACTTAATGATGCAGGGTCGCATCATTTACTTAACACAGAAAACCCCTCTTTTGGGGCATGATATTTATATTCAACATCTCATCCAGTCCCTAAGATGAACATTTTCCAATGTACCTCAATTCCTGCTATCTTTTTGTAGGATTGCTTAGGGGCTGAGAATATGAAAACTGATGTCATCCCTCTGTACTCCACTCCAGACACATATGATCTTTCCTTCTTTTCTGGAAACACAGTTATGGTGGATATTACTGTGAATAAATTTACAGCAAGGCCATGCAAGCAGCAGTTTCTTACAAAAACTAAAATAGCAGTACTGGTAGCTCTTCATGGAGGAGACCACCTCCAGCAGACCGCTCATTCCTGTTGCTCATTTGGTTGCATTCCATGCCTGTGGAGTGCTCCACAGCAGCGTGGCTGTGGACATTCCACATAGTCCATGTGGGGCAGCTAATGAAAACCATATCCACCATTTTGGAAATGAAACAAGGCTTGGCCTAAAAGTAATTTTGAGCAGAAAAGATCTTTAGCTGAGCTCTCCAGGAGCGTCTGTGCATTATATGAGCCATGTACAGAAGTCGTTATCTTATACTCAGAGTTTTGCGGGCTTTTTTGGCTTGCTTTGTTATTTTTTTCAAAGTTTGACTTCATTTTTTCATAATTGACTGGTTATTATTTTTTAGAATTGGTAGATACTACCTGGGAATACTTCTTTGCCCCACACATAAAATGTAATTTCCTAGGCTTTGCTCTAGCTATTCTAATGTTAGAGTGGATTGCCTATGACAAAACCCATCCTCCAAAGTATCACTTACTTATCTCCATTTCTGAAACAGAGACTCATCTCTTCTCCCCATGAGATCCCCATTGTAACACTTAAAGGCATCAGCCCATGCTGGGTTAAGACAGAAGACAACAACTCTTGTTTTCTTCCTACAGCTGGAATTTTTCATGCCTGTGATAATTCTGAGTTCCCTGAATTCAGCCAGTGAGATTGATAATGGTGATGCCCAATGCTAACTGAAGTGCCGTGGGTGGAATGGGTCAGAGAGATTTACTCTCCTCCCACACACGAAGTGCAGAAGGAAAACAACATTGGCTAATCTGTTTTCCTACATGTGCAGAGCACAGTGAAACAGAAATCAGAGACTTTACCCATGTAAGAAAAACAAACCCCCTGAAGCACAGATGCTGAATTATCCAGTTATTAAAAAACAAAACAGAAATCTTTTTCTGTGCGTGTAACTCCTGCAGATTGCCATGAGAACAACCCCCCTGGACTGCATGATCAGAAAGCCTTTTTACATAGTGACAGGAAAAGAATCACTTTTTGAACATTTCCCAATTAATTTCATCAAATTGCCTGTGATTCATCTGGTAACTGCACTATCTTTAATATCTTTGTGTCAATCAAGTGGTCTCTATTGCTATGTTCCTTTTGTTAAATATAAAAAATAATGCAAAACCTATGAGGATGAATAGTGTTAATGACACTGACAAAAAAACCTGCTTAAAATCACAGTTAAATCCTTCTAACAATGATATTCAGAGAGCTCATAAGCTAGAAAACAACAAAGAGCTGGTAAATTTCTGTAATATATTTAAAATACCAGAATCCTCAGTGCTGAGTGCTACAGGTTAACTGTAGCAATAGAAAGCATTCACAGCCAGTTCCCAGGCATGTGTTTTCTGCTATTGCTTGGCAAATAATCGTTGTGCTTAGCTGCTTCCTAATATCTTCCAGTCCCACAGTTACAGTAAAACTAGCTACTCATGACAATGCACATAAAATATTTTCAAGCTGCTAGTCTAAGTTCCTCAATGATACAAGCATATTTCATCTACCTATATGACTGCCCTGAATATTAGGATTTAAAAGGTACAAAATGTTT